GGGAGGATGTGCCAGGGGAAGTCCCTGAGCCGGCCGAACCCGAACGACGCATCCACGAGCCGGTCCCTCGAGGGAAGCAGGGCCGACGGGCGGATGGCGACCAGGTTCGGGGCGTCGTAGACGTTCATGTACTGGAAGGAGATGTCTCCGAAGATGCCTTTCTGGAGCACCGTCACCGCCTCGTTACTCCACACGTTCAGTTTCCTGCAAGAATGAAAGAAGCACGAAATTAAAGAGATTGCAACTTTGATTTTGTATGCAGGGATAAAATTGTGTATCGTCTATGATTCGCCAATTGATTTAGCATGCAATCCTAACTGATAGAAGGCTTTTGTTCTTGGTGCGATTCCATGTTTACAGCTTTATGTGCAGAAATGAAATCATCCTAGTCTTCATTTTGTCCCTCTTCTGCACAATATTCGAAATCTCGCGATTCTGTTCGCCTGCAGGGTGTCCTTCCAGGGTCCTCCATTGTCACACTCTGTAACTGCAGAATTCGCAAGGAAAAATATGAAACCATATAAAAGGACGTTGGGACGGCCTGTATTTATATCGGAAACGGGTAAAGAATCAAGACATGGAAGTTGCCTTTGTCACTTAAATTGGCGGGAGAAATTTTGCATAGTTCTCGGCCAACATGACCAGACGATGATTCTCATATGGAAAATGTTCATACAATTTCCTGGAGACGGTCTCATGACATCCTACTGAAAGTATAATAATACGCATCCCATAATGAAACCAAAAAAAAAAGGTTTTGAGGGTGTCATTAATCACAATTTCCTTATTCGAGGTGGTATTCGAGATGGAAAAAGGCAAACGGACTCACGTGAGCTTCGAGAACCAGGTGGCGTCGTTGAAGGCGGAGAAGATTTCGTCCGGCGTCGCCGCGGAACAATCCGCCGTGATCTCCATCCTTCCCTCGTCGTAGGAGCAGGTGCAGGGGGAAATGTCCTCGGGATCGGGGCAGGGGAACTGCCCCGACGTCTTGGGGAGCGAGGAGGTCAGGAGGCAGAGGAGGGAGAGAGCGTGGAGCTTTTCCATCGTGGAGGAAAGGAACGGAGGCGAGCATGGACCTGGACCGCGTTGTTCGCCTTTTTATTCCCCGCGTCTTCCCGGATGAGAAAGGGACCAGGTGTTCGTTGGGTGGCATTACGTAATGTCTGTTTTTCGAACGAGGGATTTTCCCTCGTGACATGACAGATGGTTTTTGGGAGTTCTACGAGCCACATCAGTGACATCTTCCTTCGAGCCGCCAACATCGTAAATCAAGCCAAAAAAGAATAAATATTCTCCCACGTTTGCAGCCGACCTGGCTTTCACGTTCTGATCGTGTTCTGCCGACTTCTGACTCGGGCAAATCCTCGGTAGCGCACCCATGTCGTGCCAACGTAGAAATTACACGTTTGCGATGTCCCCAGTAGCACCGCAATCCTGGATCGATTTCGATTGCCAAGGAAGATACCGGCTGAGGCAATAAAAACGCTCTAAGAGATACTGCGACGCCTCTGAAACTGCAACTGAAACAATGAACTTTCTTTCATACACCTCTATGGATCCTTTCAGCATCCGAAAATGTTTCCCGTTACTCTCAAGCCATTTCGGCACACATTCAAGCGATTCTACAAATGCAACTGGAGCTGATTTTTGCACTCGCACCTGGACGCAGGCGGCAGGACTCCACTCATAAGGAATGACAATTCTGTTCGTCTTTTTCCCTCTGCAATTCAGAATCCTCTGAGTAGTTCTCTGACTCGTCCTTACGTCAGGCAATTTGCAAATGAGAAATTGGCATCCCATGATTATGATGAAGAGAAACAACGACATACTCCCCGTTAACGCAGTTTTCTTCAGTTCCGACTAGTTTTAGTCTTCCGCTCCCACCCTTCTTCCCAGATAAAAACGTATTTTCCACGATCCTGGCTAGATGGAGCTTCAAATTTGCTGAAGCTATTCCGTGTTGAGAGAGGAAGAAGCATGCCAAATTTCGTTGCTGTTGATGCTCTCAGAGAGGAATAAGAGGAAGCAAAATTTTATGTTGGGAAGGGGTTGAAGAAAGGTAATAGGCGCTAAGAAAGCTACCCATTCATTATGGACAGCGTCCTTCCCTTGAGAAGGCACATTCATGCGGAATGGTTGTTACCACGAGGGAGGAGATTCCAGGGACATGGCAGGTCGTTCTTCTGGATCTCCATGCCGCGATCTTTTCCTCATCGTGCCGAGAAGCGAGAAGAGGGCGAGAAGGGGGGGGGGGGGCGCTCTCGTTCTCTCTCTCTCAATCTTTTCCTCATCGTGCCGAGAAGCGAGAAGAGGGCGAGAAGGGGGGGGGGGGGGCGCTCTCGTTCTCTCTCTCTCGTATTCACTTCGACGTTTATGAGTCGTAGTTTCTTCCGAGAAAAGAAAATTCGGAAGTCTGTGATGCTTCGCATCGAAAATGTGTCTTCCGATTTGTGGCCAAAGACGGTGGAATCATGAACAGAAACCTATTGGATATTTCATGCACTTCCTCACGCTACGTCGGAAAGATGAGGATTCGCAACTTTAGTTCCAATTTGCAATATCGCTACGTTTTTCATTATGACTTGCAGTGAAGAGCAAGAAAAGAATCGTTTCCGCTCTAACACTTCTGCTTTAAAAAGCGATGAAAGTCGTGGCATTGATAGATCAGATTTTCGAATGCGAGTTCGTCCAGGATATATAGAGGAAACTCCTGGAAATTGCAGCGAGACCGACTGAAGGACTCTGGGAAAGGCGAGTCGCACCCAAGCAACCGAGTCCTGGAAGCTCGGAACCGCGTCATGATGTCTGGCGTGAGGTCTCCACGAAGAAGGCTCCCATCGCGCGGTTACAAAATGAGCTGCTCCGGAGCGATGACCTGACTGCTCTCATCGGGCATGCGCGGGTTATGCGCATGCGTGTCACGCATGCGCGTGAGCTTCCCTTGCACCTGGAATGGACGGTTGCTCCCGTGTCAGAATTACCGTGAACTTCAGTCACGTACCTAGATAGGAAAAGCAATGAATATTTTCCGATGATACCCAATCGGCGAGCTTGGTGGGATTCCTCTTTGCAAGTTCGGAAGTCGAGGAACTCGTCAGACCGACTTTCTATTCGAACCGAATGCGCTTCCACCCTTCCCCATGTATATGGGGATTCCCTCTCGTACGATCGCAAGCATATTGATTCCTCCTGGCCCTGCCAGTGCAATGAATATCATCACGAAGATTATGCGCTGACCATGAATTTTGCAGACACGAATCACTGATGGTCAATTCTGACTGTTTATCAGGTATTTCATTATTTAATGTAAATTCATATACGACTATTATTGGGTTTTTGCTCCGTGATATTGCACTGTAGTGCTTGTTCCATGGTGAATACAACGGCGTTTTCCATCCGCATCACGAATCAGTCGACGTCCCCCATCCTATTGTTCTGGAACTGGAGTGTTCTTATCTTTAAAGTGACATTTCGCGCAGGGCTGGCTAAATCGCTCAGGTCTCAGGCGTTCCTTATTTTCTTCATCGAATTTCCATGGCACTCGAAAAGGTCAAGGAAAGAAATCGATTGCATTAAAGGTAGGAAGTCCGCACATATGTTTGCGAATTCGCTCACAATAACGACAAGATGAAGCAGGCCGTAGGAACTTCTCTTGTGGATGGAACAAAGAAAAAAGGAAAGTGATGAACTTGCGATCTCCTTTCCTTCATGTGCTCTGACCGGATTAAAGAGTGGCCAGCACGGAGAGTCTACAAATCCTTGGCCGTTGGCCGCGTTAGACAGGTAGGCGGATGAAACAGGTTAATATTTTAACATTGAGCCTATGGAGCTAACGATTAGAACTGAGCACTTCTGGCCGCAGAAAGGAGGTGGTCGCAATATCAAGGCGGCCGAATCCACAGGTTTCACTGTAGCGAAAAACCTGGGGGGGGGGGGGGGGGGGG